AAACCGAAATGTATTACTACAATATTTTTTTTCTTGCTTGCTTGAAATTAGTTTTAATTAACATCTAGCTATACCACTGCATTCCTTCACAGAAGCTCAGCATCCAGCTTTTCATTTATTTGACAAATTTGTACAGACAGTTTCTGCTATTGCACGTTTCCAAAATACCACGGGTCTCCTGTCGGTTTACATAAGATTTCGTCCCTGACGTGTTTACTTTTCGAATAGCAGAGTAACATGCTGGATTCGGAGGAACACACATCATACTTAGAGCTCATAGCTCAGTTAAGCCCACATGCTTCGTTTTGAAAGTGCTAATTTATTGAAGTGTAAAGAAATAAGATTTTTTTTTAAAGAATATCAATAAAGTTGATTCACCCGTTGTATCTCTATTACTGCATATTGCTGCAATTTTTCTATGTGAAGTATCATTTTACCAGTGTCTTAGGTGGTTTCACAGTGCAAAATAAATGGTCTTTTTAAATTTTGAATATGTTTCTACTTCGAAAGTAGAACACTTCAAAACATGTTAAATTCATTTTCAAGTCTACTCCATTGCTGTAGCGTAAACTAGGTTACAAGGTTACAAGAAATACATTTTGCAGCTGAATCTAAATGAAAAGTTTTAACAATCAGAAAATCATGATCTTAAAAAGCATTTTAAACATAATGGCTAATAGGTCTTCTACTCCAGAACAGCATTTTAGGCTATCCAAACCTTGTCATGTTACCTCAGCCTAACAGTTTGATGCTGTCAGGATCAGTCCCTGTCCTGCCGCATACTGTAGTTATGTCCATTTCCTGTGTGGCCAGCGGGATGGGCAGCGACACCTCCTGGCCAAACCGGGAACAGACATACCGACAGGGAAGGACAGGGACCGATCCTGACACATGCTCTCTCTCATATAGAATTCTGTCCCATTTCTTTGAGTATATAGTGAGAAACCAAGTTAAAATGATGGGATATACCTAACGTCAGGCACACCTTTAGCAAAGCAGAAAGCAGTGGTGATCAGGCTAAGAAATAAACACAAGTCTACCTGGAAGGATTTAAGTTTTGGGTATTCCATACACCAGGGCTATTCAACTCACGGCCCTCAAGGGCCGAGCCCTGCTGAGCCAGGTGTGAAGCCTCTGACCAATCAGAATCAGTAATTATTAAACTAACTACCTGGGGGAACTGAAAACAAGGCCTGGATTTGGAATCGAGGGCCCGAGTTAAATAGCCCTGCCATACACAGTATAATGCAAATATTGCCAATAATAACCACTTGTGCTATGATCTGCATGGTGAATGACATTTTATATACTCCCCTAAACTACAGTATGATGAAAAAAACTAATAGAATCAAGCTATTCACTCTGCAATTTACACTGTGAGCCCAGCATGTGAAAATAACATACTTTTCATGAAAATACGCTATAATACATGGAAGTGTGTCTGTAGATCATTAAGCTTAATTCACTAAGAACTCAGTGTAATAATTTAGAAATACCAGAATGATACAATAGACGTCATGCATCAGCTTCAGATCTGAAATAAGTATAATATAATAATACATCAGCTGACACACTGTAAAAATGTATCGAGCCATGCCGCATTCATTCAGAAAGGATTTGTAAGAACCAACAGATCTCAAACTGGAATTCATTCACTCTCATTGCCCTAATTGTCTAATTTTACCCACACATGGTTAAATTATTCACAGTGCTGCAGTACCATTTCCCATCAGGAAAAAAGCACAGAAATTCTGGGAATCAGCAGAAGGGAAGGAAGAGGTGTGATTGCGCCCTCTCTTTTATTGTATCCATGGGATGGGGGTGGGGATATTTCAATGTCTGTGGTCTGGGAAAGGGGAAGCCAGGCCAGCCCTGCCGGCTGATTGGAAATGGCCGGCCTGAGCACTAGCACCTCTCTGCCTGAAAGCCAGTACTGAGGAAACAGCTATTGAGCACAATATAAAGAAACAAATGTCTGATCCAGCACACACACACAGGCAGATACCCTAAGGCATTCCTGGAGGGATTAATGAAATAGCACATTACAAGACTCTTTACTTTAAACTGCCATCTATAATACATTGTAATGGTCGGTATAAGAATTAATAAAACATGACAGCATCTTCAGATAAAAAGTATTATAATGTTAATTATAATAATTCATGAGCTCCAAAAAAGCTGTCATTTACAATGCACTATAGATTCCTTCATAATGCATTACAATTTTTGGTATAAGAATTAAGGATGCTTTGTACCGTATTATGCAGGTATTTATATTCCATTATAGATGAGAGCTTCATAAAGCATTCATAATGCATAATAAACATGGTTATAATGTCTTGTGCATTTTTATAAATATTTATGGCCATGTTTATACTGCATTATAACGTGCTATGAAAGTGTTCATAGATTCTTATAGACATGACATTCAAAGAAAGTGTTACCAAAA